TAACTCGAGAAGATTATTTTGGAAGCTATGCAGAGTGGCTTAGAGAGAATGAAACAGAGGAAGGTGGGGGAGCAAGTAGGAGGTTACAACATTTATTCAGACAAGAAATGATAAGGACCTCAACCAAGGTAGTGGACATATAAGTGGAAAGATAGGGACACATCTGGGATACATCATGGGGGTAGAATTCATAGGACCTGAAATGGAATAACTGGGGAAGAGGGAGGGGACAAGCAGCAAGCGTTTATCAAACACCTACTGTTTTCCAGGCACTTAACTAAGCATGTTTTGAGGCCCAGCATTCTATCTCCTGCGCCATATTGCTCTTTGGGGAAATAGTGAGATCCCAGGTCTGGACCTTTACTGCTTTATTATGGCACAGGAGATCAAATGTTAAGCCTCAGGACATGAAGACTTGAGTTCAAATCTCAATTTGCCTGAAACGAAGAAAAAAAATCATTGTTAAGTTTGACCATGTCATCCCACCTACTTAATCAACTCCAGTGGCTGACTCCCTATTGTCTCCAGGATAAATATAAAACCTAGATGTCTAGCTTTTAAAGCCCTTCATAACTGGGCCCCTTCCTACCTTTCAGTATTCTCATACCTTACACCCACACATACGCACACACATATCCTTTGATCCAGTGACACTGGCTTCCTTGCTATTCCTCAAACTATGTATTCCATTTTTCCCTGGCTGTCCTCCATGCCTGGAATTCTCTCCCTCATCTCCACCTCCTGGCTTCCTTCAAGTCTCAGTTACAATTACACCTTCTGCAAAAAGCTTTTCCCAACCCCCCATAATCCTAGTGCCTTTATTATTCTGAATTTCTCCTGTCTATATCTTGTTTGTACATAGTTGTTTACATGTTAGACTATAAGCTTCAAGAGAGCAGGAGTTATCTTTTGCCTTTCTTTGTATTCCATGCTTAAGAGAGTGCCTGATACAGGGGAGATAGTTTAAAAAAATATCTGTTGTAAAATTGTTAAATGAAAATAAAATAAAATTTAATTTTAAAAAGTCCCATCTCTAACCCTTAGTAGCTGTGTGACCCTGGGCAAGTCACTTAACTTTGATGTGTCTCAACTACATAAGTTCCTAGGACTTTTTAAATAAGTCAGTGAGGGGTCATAGATGTTTTAGTCCAAGGAAGTCTCTTGTTGGCAAAATCACAGAACTGTCAAGTATCATTATTAGAGACGAAGCAGAAATCTAAGCAAAATGCTGTAAGGAATCTAAAGTCAAACAAGCAAATTCTATTACAACCTACTTATTTCTAAGAGCTGTAAAACATAGTGCTTTATGAGGTCAGAGAGGGAAGGAGGTTACTAAAAGGAAGTTCTATTCCTGCCTATCACTAGACCTTTAAGCTGGATGGCGCCACCAAGTAAGTGCCTCTTTCTACAGTTGTTATGATCCATGGCTGGTAGGGAAGACAAGCAGCATGCAATGGGACATTCTATTGTACACACGTGTACACACACACACACACACAATACCACTCTAGTACTCTAAGTGAATTCCCTTCTCACTCAAGGCTTGAAGAAAAAACTCACATTTTTACAGCATTTAGACAGTTTACAAAGTAGTCACTGAATTTAAAAAAAAAAAGTCTGGGGACCCCTGTTTTTACAGGCTGCCTTCAAGAGAATCATACATTCATCAAATCTCAGAGTAGAAGAACATTCAGTTTGCCTTCAAATTCTAGTCAGCAAATCCCCTTTCGCATTGGCATGAACACTTCCTCCAGGGATGAAGAACTCAATATACACAAAAGCAACCTATTTTCTTGGTGCGGATCTCTAATTAGCAGAAGTTACATCTTCTATTGACTCAGCATCTGCCTTCCTATAAATTCTACACAACTCTCTGAGATCTAATCGCTGGTACCACAAAGAATATATCTAATTGCTCTTCCAAATAACACTTAAAATATTTGAAGATAGCTATGATGAGGGCTGACCCCATGTTCTTACACGCACACACATGCTCACACACGTGTGCACACACACATATCTTCACCAGTTCCTTCAACCTCATATGACCTAGTTTGGAGTCCATATACTTATGTCAGCCACCCTCCTTGAGACACTCTCTCTCGAAAAGTTCCCTTCTAAAAACTGACACCCAGAACTAGGTGCAATACTCCAGAAGGAGTCAAAGACAAAACAGAATAGCACTTTGGTGTCATGGAAAGAGCAGGTATAGTGGCCTAAGAGATTTTTTAAAAACCTGAGTTGTGGTCCTGGCTCTGCTACCTAACTAGCTACATGACCTTGGGCAAGTGTCATCTCTGGGCTTTAGTGTCCTCATCTTTAGTAAAATAAGGTTATCCCTAATGTCCCTAAGGTCCCTCTGAGGTGTGATGTCTCCAACTATGCCTTTATTCACAAAACTGTCCCACTGAACTACAAAATTCAATGATTCAATTTAGTGTTTTAAATAACCTATTCAGTCATTAAAGTAACCTTCCTAAAGCTCTAGCCTCATCATGTTCCCCCCCCCCCCCACTCAGTGAACTTCAGTGGCTCCACATTGCCTCCAGAAGCAAATATAAAACGCTCTGCTTTGGCATTCAAAGCCCTTCATAACCCAACCCCCTTCTACCTTTCCAGTCTTCTTACACCTTACTCTCTGACACATACTCTTGGATCCAGTGACACTGGCCTCCTGATTACTCCAGCAACACACTACCTAGACTCTGAACATTTTCTGCCCATGGGTCACGTAGCATCATCAACTACGCACATCAATGCCAGCATACAAGTCCATGGGTCCTGACAATGAGTCCGTTTCTTCTAGACAGAGGAACTTCTCTTAGGGCGAGAGTTAAAAACCAGAACTAAGCTGCTAACTTCTGTTCATTAATATCTAAAATACCTACAAATGTGGATAAAAAGAAGCTGTACTTCTATCACTTCCTAGGCCAAAGAGAGACCATCTCATCATCCTCATTCACTGGCAAAATACACACACACACACACACACACACACACACACATACTCACACAACTCTGGCATGCATGATGGTATGGAGACACCTGTTTCCTCAAACAGCTGCAAATCTAACAATGCTTAAAGACTGAACAAGTGTGCCCACAGCATTGAAACCAAAGAACTGAAAGACCAAATTCATCTAAGAAACCAGCTCAATGAGGTCTTGAAATGGATAAAGCCAAAGCATGTTAATTAACAATTTTCTAAAGAAAACTGAATTTCCCTTCTCCACTTCCCCAACCAAGCACAGAGGATGGGGGGGGGGAGAAAATAACCCATTTTTGCCCAAAATATTCGACATCCTTCAAGTAGGGAAAGGAGAATAGTCATAAGATTAGCCACTCTATGAACTGCCTTAAGGATTATGAAAATAGAGACCCGGGAGGGAGAAAACTGTAAGGTATAAAAGTCTTCTCAAGGAGATCATCAAACTAATCATCATTTGTTTAAAAAAAACAGACTGAAGATATAGGAATGCCTAGATCTTATGATTATGTGTCCATTTCTAAATCTTTTTTTTTCTTTTAAATTAGTTGCTTGGCAATAATTCAACTCGACAATTCAATTCAAACTGGCAAGACGACAGGAACGAAAACCTTCACAAGAATGCATCCTACAGCTGCACAATTCCGTTCAGAAATGCAGCTACTTCTGAGGCCCAACACCTGTTCTTTCTGAGTTTCCTTCCTATCTAAGGCTACACAAAAGACTTCCACTCCAGATCTGCTTCCCCATCTGTAAAATGAGATGATTGGGCTACACAGTCTTTAAAATGCCTTCCATTTCTGACACTATATTAAAGGAGATGACGCATATTAACATATATCCGTACAAGCGGTTTTTAAGCCATGATGCTCTTTATATACCTGAACTATAATGTTTTCAAGGTCTCTTCCAGCTCTGGTATTCTAAGATGGACTAAGGGTGGGGAACAAAGCGATATAACTCAAGATCCTAGTGTCCCACTTAATTTATGACTCATTCCCTAAAAAGACCCGGGTAGGAGCCGAGGTGTCCCGCCCCACCCCCGCCAAGTAATTGGGGGAGAAGCAGAGAGTCCAGAGGCTGGAAATGCGGCTCCTAGCCTTTCTGTGGGGGTGCGGCCTGAAGCGCCCTCCTCCCCCATATCCTGTTACCTTCCCCTCTTCTCTCTGTTACACTTTGGGTCTACTTCAATATCCTCTTTCTATTTCGGGAGGCCCAGGGCTCGCACCAAGAGGCTCGCAAATAATGCGGGGCAAAGAAATCAGGGCCTGGGGAGGGGTACGGAATTCAATTCCCAGGGGGGCCACTATGGGCAAGGCGCTTCCCGCTTGAGGTCTGGGAGAGGAGAAGAGGGAGTCTGGGTCGAGATCTGCGCTGCAAGACCCCTTCCGACCCCTATGAAAGTGTCGGTTCCTCCCCCACACCCCGCCTCGCCGCAAGAGAAATAGAAGGTCAGGTGAAGCAATCGTTCCCTGCAGCCCGGGGCAGCCTTTTGGGAGACCTGCCCACTCGGAACCCAGCAATGGGGCTCACAGCTGGGTTCTAGTGCCCCCAGCCCAATCCAAGCCATGAGACCCTGTCGCGGCTAGCCTGTTGGACCCGAAAGCTAACTACTTCTACAATGCGCACCCCTTCTTTCATTCCGGCCATGTCCCCCTTACCAAGAACCCCAGACACCAAATCTCTAGTCAAAAGCCGTCCCCGAGCCAGCACCACGTGCACCCTCGCCGCCGCAGTTCCCAAGTCAAGCACCCCTCATACAAGCTCACCCCACGTCGCGCCCCGGTCACACAGCCCCTCGCCACGAGCTCCTCCCCAGAATTCTGAGGCTACCCGCCCCTCGCCAGAAGCCCTCCCCCAACCTGCCCTAGTCACCTGTACCTCGCCACGCGCCCCTCACTAGGAGTCCTCAGGCCACGCGCCCCTCGCCAGAACCGCCCGCCCCCACTCGCTACGCACCCCTTCTCAGAAGTCCCCAGGCCACGCGCCCCCTCCCCACGCCTCGCTGCCTTACCTGCTACCGGGGAGGGCTTGCGCAACACCAGCCACCTAGTTTTCCACTGCGGGGGAGATAGAAAAGCACACGGTTACGCAGTGGGCTGGGCGCAGGGGGCTTCCGTCCCCGTCCCGCCCCCACCCCGACTGCTCCAGTGGAGGGGTAAAGGGTCTCGTGAAGGTAGGGAAAGGTATAAGGCGTGACCCTCACCTTTTTTCCATCTCTCAATTTGACCTGACCCTCCACCACCACCGAATCCGTCATCTTCAGTCATGGTTCCAAACAGCTGCGCCCTCAGCTCCGGCCTCTCCCTCCTCGAGCTCTCCCCCTCTGGGCGCTCGGGCAGCCAGACCGACTGGGTCACTTTCAAAATAGCTTTATTAGGGCCCTGGACAGGGACAGGGAGGGAGGGAAGAAGCTGACAGAAGAGGGAACTGTTTGACAAGCTAGGGGGAGGGGGGGGCGGGCAGAAAGGAGAGCAAAGTGTGTGAGAGGCCAGAAAGAGCAGGGCTCATAATTGCAGTAAGTCACATCTCTCTAGTGCTTCAAGTTTACAAAGAGTTTTCGTCCCAAGAATATGGGGTACAGCTCTCATTGTCCCCATTTTACGGATTAGGAACCTGAGGTGGAACAGGTGACTCACCCCAACCCCCACTATCCCCACTACAATTGCAGAGCTGAAAAATGAACACGAGTCAATGAGCATTTATTTAGCACTTAGTACATACAACAAACTGTGCTAAGCAATAAGGCAAATCTGGATCCTTCCCCAAAACAGAGAATCTGGAAAGAACTCAACAATGGGAAAACAGGGCAGCATGGGTGGAGGGGGAAGGCAGTTGAAACATAGTGTCATCTGAAGAATAAAGAATGGCTGGTCTGGGCCCATCTCCAAAATGGATGTTTCAGGAAAAATTCACTTTGCTCAGACTAAGAAAACTACCTTAGAGACCGTCTAGTGAAACCCATCCGTTTTAAAGAGGAGGAAACAGAGACACAGAGAGGTTAAGTGACTTGCTAAAAGGTCACACAGGAGTTAGTGGCAGAGTCATAATGTACACCTAAAGCCTCTCGCTCCAAAAACCCCTCCCTGTTCCTCTCTGTTCCTCAATTCCCTTATCGGTAAAATGAGGGGCTTGGAACAGATGATATCTAGAATTCCTTTCAGCTCTTAGTCTATGATCCTATGAACTCTTGGTATTTGCTCTTCTTGCACAAGAAAGATAGCACCAAAATCATGTGAGATAGTTGAAAGAATACTGGATTTGAAGTCTGGAGAAACCTGGGTTTGAATCTCATCTCTAACCCAGTCTTTGCTGGGTGATCCTGGACTAATTACTTTTGAGTTTCAGTTTCCTCATCTATATAATGGGGGTTTAAATATTTATACTATGTACCTCCCAGCCACGTTGAGAGAAAAAGTAGTCTGTAAACCCTAGATTACTATAGAAATTTGAGCTATTCATCCTAAAATTATTTTCCTTCTTGTTACAGAAAAAAAGGCAAAAAACAGGGACTCAAGGGAAAAGATGGCTATGGGAATGGCAGAAGGGGGGTCAGCAGAGGGAGAGAGATGGGGAAAAGCAAAGTCAGTGTTTCTGGAGGTTTTCAGTCAAAAGGCTATTCATTTTCCTGGCTGTAAGGAAGTGGTCCTGGGGAATCTTTGAGACTAATGTTTGCTCCTGTAAAGATTTCTTTCTGTTTGGTTTTCCTAGTTCCTTCAACAAAATTTTCTTATGTAATATTGTGACTGGCTGTCTGCTAATGATTTCACCTGACCCATAATTTATCATCTTTCTGAGGAGACTTTGGGCTCTTGACAGACCAGTAGAAAGCATAAGTCCTGAGAAATCTACAAAGCCACCAGAAGTCTTTCAGAATGTGCCTTTCAATGAACTCTCAGCTATCCATAGACCAACCTATGTATAGGGAATATTCTCACTAGAGACATCCAAGAATGAATATTTGCAACCTTCTGCAGCAACACATATGTACAAAAGGATCCATGTGTAACCAAAGGGGAAAAAAAAACCCAACTCATAAAAACCATCTACTAAGGCTTGGAGGAGCTGTGATCTGTCACCATGAAAGGAGTATCCTACATACCTTGTATGGGTTTTTGGTGAGGAAAGCACTCTGCATCATATTGGTAAAGACTACAAAAAGGAAGACAATTGTTGGAGGGGAAAGCAGGCACACTAATGCATTGCTGGAGGAACTGTGAATTGGTCCAGCCATTCTGGAAAGCAATTTTAAACTCTGCCTAAAATGTTACTAAATTGCATGTACCCTTTACCCCAACACTACTAGACTTATAACGCAAAGAAATCAAAGAAAGAGGAAAAGGATCCATATGCTCAAAAATATTTATGACACTTCTTTTTTGTAGTAGCGAAGAACTGGAGGCTAGATAGATGCCCATCCATTGAGGAATAATTAAATTATGGTATATGGATGGAATGGAATGTTACTGCACTGTAAGAAAAAGCAAAATGGACAATTTTAGAGAAACATGGTAAGACCAATAAGAGGACTCTGTAAAGTGCAAAATGCTATTAAAAAGTTAGCTATGATTACCTCAGAGCTCCAAAGTATACAGGCATGATCCAACCTGGCATTTCTTATCCAAGATCTAGCCTAAGTGTGGAGAGCCTTATCCCCAAAGGGTTGGCCACTAAATAACAAAATTATTTTAGCCACAGCAGCTAACAAAGGTGATCCACTAAAGTAGGGATTCTTATCCTGTGGACCATGACCTTTTTAAAGAATATAATTTAATAACTGTACTCTGTATTTTATTTTATACATTTTAAAAACATAATTCTGAGAAGGGGTCCACAGGCTTCATCAGACACAACCAAAGGACCAGGATGCAAAAAAATGATGAAGAACCTCTGTCCTTAGGTATGAATGGGCAGTGAGTGACTAGCTTTGCAGAAGCACTCACACTGAAGAAACCACAAACTATTTTTAAAAGGCACTGAAGGAAGCATTGAAGAAGGTAAAAAGAATAAGATGCAGTTCCTGTGCTCAGGGAGCTTCCAGTGTCTAGTTGTGCCTCCAAGACCTAGAACAGTACCTTGCATATGTATTTCAAAGGATCCATGATTTCATTCATGTGGACGTTCATTCCATTGGGACATCCATACCTAATCCAGTTCAGTTCATGGCCATGTTCTCCAACAGACCCAAGGGTATACCCAATGTACTAGAGGTCCCTTGGTTTTGTTTTGTTTTTTATAATTTGTGGGTACCAGTGCAGCACACAGGCTGTCCATCTGTCTTCCTTCAATCCCAATACATGACTGGCCCACTTCCTTTTCGTATCCTGATAACCTTCATGCCTCTTAGGCAGTCATTAGAAACATGCAGCAGTCTCCTTTCTCTTAACACTCAATCCATTAGTAGGCACTTAATAATTGTGGATGTCACCCATGGGACTCTGGGCCTCACAAGTCTTTAGGGGATTCTCAGCTCACATAAACAGATTTGACCCTTGGGGCTCAACCAGAAGGAGTTACTTCTGTCTGGCTTGTGGTATGGTGAGTGTTTTTTCCCCAAATGTGTGTAACAGGGTCCCCAGCTCCAACAAAAATACTCAATATGCAATACTGGTATCAAGTATGAAATGGTTATTATTTTACCTACCACAGAAAATACATAAGATACAAAAGACTCAGGTGTTTATGTATACATAAGATTCTTATGTATACATAAGAAACATACAACACTCAAATAGCTCATTACACTCATTAGACTCCCCAGGAAGGTAAAGGCTCCTTGTAGGTCTATTGAACACATATATCCCATTAGCTTTGGCCCTGCACTGTGTAACTAACACCAATGGAGGGTTAGCAAAGTCCAGATCTCTTGTCCTGTCATGATATGGCTTTAGGACAGCTTCAGGACTGTCATCTTCCTTCTCCAAATTGAGTACTACCAAGAAAATTTTCTCCCAGTGCCTGACTCTAGAACTTGGGAATTCTCAAACTCAATACAACATACTAAGTAAGCTCCCAGGCTGGATGCATTATTTTCAGAATCACTAGTCTCTGACCTGTACTCAGAAAAAGAAAACCAAAAGAAAGAAAGAAGCCAGCCTCTCAGACCCACCTGGACCACTGGCCAATTGCCATGAGCTTTTCCTGCAAGTCATTATCTTCTGCTTCTACTTTCCCCCACCCCCCTCACCCTCCCTTGTTGCACTCTAGTCTGGAAGTCCAAGAGAGAGAAAATTCATTCCATTAAAGGAAAAGGGTATAAAGGGATGGGCCATTTCACAATTTCCTCTTATAGACCAGAGACAGGGCAGATCCTTCAGCCACGTCCAGGGCCTCAATCAGCCCATTGTCTTGGAGGCAGCCTCAGTCACTTGAGAACAATAAGACGGTTCTCCTGTACTGCTGTCCCCACCCCAGCAAAGCACTAGGATGTTTGTCTACCTCCATGACAGGTACACTCTTCCATCAAAGACCTGTAATTTCATTAAGTTGCCTGGGAACAACTCACTGATTTGATCCCTGGCTTTCCTAACCTATTACACTAATTTAAATTATTGAATTGAATTGATGAAGCCGTATGTTACTCTGGAAAGACCACTTGATCTGCTACTTACCACCTCTTTGCCCTTGGGTAACTCAACTTTTCTGGGCCTTAGTTCCCTCATCTGTAAAATGAGAGAATTGGTCAAGATGGTTGTTAAACTCCTTTCCAGCTCTAATTTCTAGGATCTTATGAACTGAATTGAATATAGGTTGTCCCTAAGTTGTAGAGATCCCTGAATGTCCCGTTAAGGCATTTAAACTTTATTACATGAAAGAATGGCTATTAAAGGCTTTGCAGACTATAAAGCAGAATGTAAATGTCAAATATTGCCATCATTATTTATCTTTTCACTTCAACGGATTTCTCTGGTCCACTGATGCCTGTACCCAGTTCAGCACACAGTGAGATTAAGAATAGTCAGTCAGACTGGCACCTACTCAAGGACAAAAGAACGATGGGGAAGGAGGAGACAGGAAGAAGTTCACTCATCTTTTAGCCAAGAGTGCAGTCACTTCCTCTTTCAGATACTGTCATGTCCATAACTGTATCTATCTCCATAGAACTCCCTCCCACAAAGAGGACAGACATCAACAACTCACTTGCCTCTGGACTGGCCATGGGAGATTCAGATAAGACACAAGAGGCAAAGCTGTGGGAACTTGGAGGACCTTGGGAAGATGGAAACAAGTAAAGAGTTCTAGTAGCGCTCACCCTAAAAACAGCATAGTCTGTTTCAAAGAGTAGATAGGGAAAAAAAGTGATGTCTTTTTAAAAAATTTTAAAAGATTATCAGGGGGAAACAATAAGAC